GCCGGGTTCTCACCGGACCAGGCTCTCACATGACCAAGCGCGAAGCGCCGTGAGGTATTCGGTGAATCGCATGAAGGGTGCGCTGCATCCTGCTAAGGATGTATGTGTCGGCATCTTGTGATTTCTTCCTTCGTACTGATGACAGCTGCAGAGAGAGGGGGAGGAATAATATCGGTAGGTAAGGTATGGTATCCACCACACCTCGCGAGCCGATTTTCAAAGCTCGATTATATTCATTTCACAACGACGGGGGTGAATAATAATAAAACGAAACGATATACTTCCGGAAAGCTTTGTGTCTCTCGACGGGCCCCAACGCCGCCGTCTTCGGCACCGCCATTTTCTGCTGCTGTGAAGGCATCGAGCTTTGAACATCGGTGGTCCAGAGGGTGTGGTATCTTGTGTGACCTATGGTAGAAGTAGTACGGTACACACATCTGGGGGCGGGCATCACCGCCGAGAGCGTGCTCTCGCACCCGAAAGTCACCGGAGGGGACGACTGGACGGCGCACAAAATTATATTTTAAAGTAGATCAAGAAGAAGAATTGAGATCACGGACAGAATCGAAAACGGGGATGCATTTGGCTATACCTCACCCGTTCACCCCTTCGGGAAACTGCCATGTCACCCGTTCACCCTTAGCATCATATCGACAAAATTAGAGGCAAAAGAGACGTCATCATTGGCTTCCGGTGAACGCACGGCGCCGTGAGCGGTCACGGCAGCACGCGGGGTCTCACCCGCCCGTCCTTCCTTGGTCCTACGGCTAGCTTGCCTGGCTCGGCTCTACGTTACATTGAAGCCCGGTGGCCTGAACAACATGCTATCTACGTATCCCTCCCTCATAAAAATTCTACCAGCGGGGCTCAACGCGCGCAGCAGATAGATCTAGACGGACAAAACACATATAGCCCAAACGACACCTGAGAACTTACCAAAATTACAAGACTAAAATCTGTGTGCGAGCGGGTGTGCGGGGTCTGTCTGCACGCCAAAAAATACTATCGTACCAACGCTGTCTGCGCCTCATTCCACGAACTCAACGGTACGGAATACTACCGTGTCGAACACGCTCCGATACTCAACGGGACCTCCCCCAGACGAAAGAGTGCCTAAAACCGACGCTTCAAACAGCAGCAGCAGCAGCGGCAGCAGCCGCAGTCGCTACGACCGGCGGCCGAAAAGAACCCCCCCCTTGCGGATCAACACGCTGGGCCTTCGACCACAAAAACGATCATCGAACTCAGTACATACCTACGCCAACCGTGAAGGAAAAACTGGCAACCAATCAGATCACCTCATCAGCAACGACCGATGGATCTCATAGCGTCATTCAGAATACAACGTCAACGTCAAAAATAAACATTTTGGGCACCGTGAGATGGAAAAGGCGGTGATTGGCTGCCATACAGAATTACCGTTAGACGGCCAGCTCGCATCGAAAACGACGTACAAAATGATGGTGTCTCTCCCGACACCGATCTGTCTACTATTAACCTTGAATAGGGCCCCATCAAACTACAGGTGTCAGTGACCACGCATCATCCCCTGCTTTTTTTTTTTACTTTTTTCAACTTATCACAAAACCTGCAATACGCTGACACCCACCACGGGGATGATCGGACGACTGCTGCATAGCACTAAACCGGGAGTTACAACCAAACAGAAAAAAGCCTGCGAGCGCATGTAGCACACCCCGTATATGGATGGACGGCAACCACCTACCTTCTTGGGTGACAACGCCCAGCTTCAAGGACCTTACAACACCTAGTCTAAGGTCACCCACCCAGCTTCAAGGACCTTACAACACCTAGCCCCAAGGACCTCAAAGCCACTCGTGCCAGCAAACGGCCGGCCTCTGCCCGCCTCTGGTAGCGGTGGTTGCTCCCCAACAAGACATTGAACAATATGCAACTCGTCAAAATCTCCTTCACCGTTTCGATTGGGGTCCGGTGGGCGGGACGACCCCCCCCCCCCCCCCCCCCCCCCCCCCCCCCCCCCCCCCCCCCCCNCCCCCCCCCCCCCCCCGCACCGCCCGTGCCCACGTGGTGGTCGAATCGTGGCAACCGCTTTCGCATCACACACACACAGAACCCACGCCGCGCGCCCCGGCACCGCACACGAGACAGACCCAAGGCAGCAGCAGCAAGCAGTCATGCACGGGACATCAACAGCCACTACTCCCGCTTGCCATCCTCATCCCCCTTCGCACCGGACATCCTTCCCACCTCGCATGCAAACCCAATCATGCCTCTTTTCTCAAGCCCCCCCCCCCCCCCCCCCCCCCCCCCCCCNCAATGGCCTAACCGCTAAGGCATGCAAAACATAGGAGTACGCCTCCCCCCCCCCCCCCCCCCCCCCTCCGCCTCTCATCAGGTATCATCCTCCTGCCGGAAGGTTATCGGGCCCCGCGGTGCACAGTCCGTCAGATCCGGCGAATCCGGGCGAAGCGGCGGCACGACCGGCCCCTTCAGCCGCTTGCGCTCCTGCTCTTCTCGCCAGTGAAGGCTGCACGGGACGCGCTTCGCTAGGGAGGAGGCGCCGTCGGTGCCTTGCGCCATGATCGACAACATCCCCGAGAATGAGTTGCCGCCGTCGAGGACTTTGAGCTCAGCTTGCAGGAACTTGGAGTTGATCGGGTTCCACCTACCGTGGCGAGGATGGGGGGGGGGGGGGG